CTTACCTCGACACCACCGCCGAGCAGTTAGCCTCAGCTTCAGAGTATCTTCAGTCAGCGACCGGTCTTTCTCCCACCCAGGTCAACACTGCCGCCGCGGGTACGCTCCTCGCTCTAACCCTGATTCCCGTCGTTGCCGCACGGAAATCCAAGACCGGAAAGGGAGGAAAGATGTCTTGGTGGGGGCGCCCCAGTTTGTCTCCTTGGAACTCAGGTGTTGGCCAAGGGGGTGTGCCGAGCGTGACTGAGGAGGATTTTAGCTACATCACTACTGAGGATCTCGACAGTCCTCGCTACACTCAACGTTATGACTATACTCGGTCACCACCATCTGCTGTTCCGAGTATCAGCAGGTACGAAGAGCCTCCTGAAGACGACGCTCTAAACATCGTCTACAAGAACGCCGTGTATCCCGAGGGGTTCCCGGCGTACTCGATCGGCGACGGAAAACTCCTAGTCAGCGATGTGAAGGAACGGGTGAAGCTCATTTTGGGAATTTCCGATCGTCATGGGAGGATTCGCTTGTATTACAAGGGTCGGCGCTTGAGGGATGATGACAAGCCTGTCAGAGAGTATGGGGTCAAGCACAACAGCGAGATCACGGTCACGATAAGCGAACGCGAATCCGAGAGCAGCAGCGATGTGGGGAGCGATGAGATTGTTATCGTTGATCGTGACGGCCGTGAGGTTCGCGACGAACATGAACCGTCAAAGAAGCATCGCAAAAAGCGCAGAGGCAGGACCAGGGAGGAGCGTGGTGCTCGCAGCCCTCAGAGCCCGCAGGAGAGTGCTTCAGATGTTGGTCTCAGGGTGCCAACTGAAGATCCTCGGAAGAGAGCCGCTTCAAGAGTTCGCTCTCACTCCCCTTCAGCCGAGTCCGGCTTTTCGGCAGCATCCGGTGTCTCGGCAATCTCTGCTATCTCGGGCGGCAGCATCGCCCGCGCCACCCCGGCTTCAGTTGCTCCTGGTGGTCCCATCGAGAAGCTCGATCAGATTGCCGCCAACTTCAACAACACGCTTTTACCATTGTGCCGAGAGTTTGCGGCCCATCCTCCTTCTGACCCCAAGAAAAGACAGGAGGAGCATCTCAGGCTCTCAGAGACGATCCTACAGCAGGTCCTCCTGAAATTTGACGATATTGAAACGGGAGGAGATGCGGCAGTCCGTGCAAGGAGGAAAGACATGGTGAAGCAATGCCAGGATATCCTGAAGACGCTCGATGAGGTTGGCAAGGCATAAAGTGGCCTGTTAGAGGCGCAGTGCCCAGATTCTGTCATTTTGAAGATTCATGGTGAGGATGAGCATGGAAGGCTGAGGTGGTTCCTCGTTACAATGTCGGCATTTCTTCGATTTTCTCGCCATGTGAAGGCGTATCAGGGCGGCCAGTACGTCGCTACCAGCTGTTCATATATCCTCCGCCCATGTTTCTTTAATTCCTTCTTTTGGGGTTCAGGTTTATCGCATCATATGTCCAGTATTGGGACAAACGAAGATGGAAGTTAAAAGATAACGGTTTCTTGTGCATAGGGCGTGTCCAAGTGTAGTGATGGTGTTGACCAGGGCATAGATGGTAATTGACTGTCCTCCAACCCAAACCGGCGATTCACGGTCGCGATACATTCAGAGACCCCTACGTGCCCCGACTACCTTGATGGCCAGCTGGACTTGACGCTGATCGCCCGTTCTGTTGCTTGTGAGAAGGATTCACTCAGTATGATGACTCGCTTACCACAACAAAAGCCACAAAAACACAACTGCTGAACCGCAATATGAGTGGCAATCACCTATCAGAGTCCTGTGATGAGATCATAGCCAGTTCATTGTCGCCCATGAGATAACACTGCAAGGCACCTTGAGCACCTGAATCAAGAAGACCGTGATAAGGTTATCAGCGTGGTTGTCGCGCGCCACATGAGCGCCAAGACACGGGGAAGGCCAGCAAAATCAGCCCCACCAATTGCAGACTGTAGGTCTAACCCTACCCCAACGCCTCAGGCAGCAAAGGCCACACTGGCTGGCAAGCCTCCACCGCTTCCGAAAACGGACTAGTGCATATCTCCCAACACCAAGCACACGGGCAATTTTCAGCACACACAAAAAAGTCGCAGACCGTCAACCATCGCGAGGTAAGAGCCAGACTTGCTGCCCTTTTGATCAGCCGGAGCTTGACGGACTGATCGCTAATCCTCCTTCTTTGTCAACCCAGTCTTCCCCGGCAAAGATGTCTTCTTTCGAGTCTGTGGTACGTTGCGAATCCCCGAAATCGAATTCATGATGGATGTGGTTTCCACCGGTTCCATATCCGTATGGCGACGAATGGCCAGGCTGCCGACCGCTGCTGCAACGACACCGAACGAGAGGGAGACGACATGTTCGACACGATACGGCGTTGGATACGGATATGGAATTTGGGGGAAACATGGGACATTTGCACACCGAGGGACGCCGTTTTGACGGCAAGGGTGCGGCAACAGCAGTTTTGTGATGGCTAACCTGTTGCTTTACAGGTCGTCATCGACGGCAAGGGCCACCTCCTCGGTCGCCTCGCCAGCATCGTCGCCAAGCAGCTCCTCAACGGCCAGAAGATCGTCGTTGTCCGCTGCGAGGCCCTCAACATCTCTGGCGAGTTCTTCCGCGCCAAGCGTACGTTACACCTGCACTCCTACACGAAACCGGGAAACATGACTGCGAGGATCAACGGACCCGGGAGGATCATGGAATTGGGCACGACAAGAGGAGGGAAGAGAGGGAATCGCAGTCATGGGCGAGAACGAGAAATGAAGACCGAACGACGAGAACAGTCAAACTGACGAAACTACGATTATAGTCAAGTACCATGCGTACCTGCGCAAGATGACCCGCTACAACCCCACTCGTGGTGGTGAGTTACAGCCCTTTCGAAACGACGACGACGATGACAACGGTCGAGATGAAGAGTCAGACGATACTGACGGCCCGCAGGTCCCTTCCACTTCCGCGCTCCTTCCCGCATCTTCTACAAGGCTGTCCGCGGCATGATTCCCCACAAGACTGCCCGTGGCGCCGCTGCCCTTGAGCGCCTCAAGGTCTTCGAGGGTGTCCCTCCCCCCTACGACAAGAAGAAGAAGATGGTCGTTCCCCAGGCTCTCCGTGTCCTGAGACTCCAGCCCGGTCGCAAGTACTGCACCGTTGGCCGTCTCAGCTCTGAGGTTGGCTGGAAGTACGAGGATGTTGTTGCCAGGTACGTTGGTCCTTTCAGAGCTGAGGCTCTTGCTCTCCAAAGCCATGTGCCGTTTAATGCTAACTGTTGGGTAGACTCGAGGAGCGCCGCAAGGCCAAGGGCGCCGCCTACTACGAGCGCAAGAAGCTCGCCGCCCGCCAGCTTTCCGAGGCCAAGAAGAGCGCCAAGGTCAACGAGAAGACCGCCGAGGCTCTCAAGGAGTTCGGTTACTAGAGATAGTAACTGTTGCTTCGTCGACTCTTTATCCTTTGTGCGTTTTCACTCTAGATTGGCGCGGTTCGGGGCATCATCAACACCGGCGAGGAAATATGGAGGAGTCCGTGGCTTTCCGACTCGCTGTTAGTCCCAGGCTTGGGACCTCATACGAATAAATGATGAGATCACACAACCAATGGAGAGATCATGCAAGGGATGAATGGAAGAAACAAGACAAATACCCCCGGGCGTTCAGCATATGCAGTTCAGGACCTTTGTGTGGTGCGTGCCAGGCGTGTTCTCATGACAGAAAGGGACCCTTTGTGTCTCGTAGATGATGACCATGCCGTCGAAACGGCACCTCCCGTCCACAAGCCCGAACATGCTGAAGCAAGCCGATGAATGACTACTGCGTACTTAGCCAAATTAATGCCAACTAGTCTACGAACAAAACCTCTGATATCATGGCAATCTGCTTATGGGATTGTCTAGTCTTTTACCACGTCAACCACGGTCTCTATATCTCTACCCCACAACCTCTTAACACAGTACCAGACCATGTCATCTTCATGCTGACATGTTGTCCACCAAGGAGATGACAAAACACAGAATCCTGGTTACGAGGTTCGATCGCGGATCATGGAATTATTTCCATGTGTCACGAAATGTTACATCGAGTATCATGGCAAGTAAGCCTCTGAAGTGACATTTCATCTACAACCGGGCTTAAGGTGTTAAATAGTATAACATAACAACATCTCGAGTTTGTGACCTCTTGGTACTCACGGGTCAATTATTATAGCATGTTCTGGTTGACATTGGTCGATTTACACTAGTCTCTTAAGCCACACTTGAATTCTACCTGCTCGACCATAATGGCAAATTCTTTCATCACATATATGCTTTATACCCAGTCATGTATGTCCGTGGTAATGGAAGAGAATACATAAGTTCGTCAGTATTACGCGCAGATGTCTTCAAGTCTGTTTAATTTCTATCCTCTTTCACACTGATAAGCAGTACCATGGTTCCCTCGTAAACATAACAACTCTTGTGACTGTATCTCAGAATGTTGTCTTGTATTTGTGTAAATCATGAACCTATTTATTACCATGTTGTTGCTCTTCTCGAGAGGTCTTATATCCACCCCTTTTTAATGGACACCAGTGACTTGTCTTGTGCCATGAATTGATCGCAGCAGTTCCTCAATCATACTCATTGGTAGATCTCGAGGGCATTGCTCCCTTATCTAACTGATCAATGGTCCCGTCATACTATACCGGCACTTTTGAGTCATGTCGGTCTTTTTGCAACGTTGCTCCTTCTTTTCCCATTTTCTTCTCGGTACATAACGACTTCCCATGCGTGCTACCTTTCTTCTTTCTGCTCAGCGACCAGCCTAGATTGGTAGCTTAGTCAGTCAATCCTTCACCGTGCACCAGGGAGATTGCCAGAATGAACAAAGAATCCAACCTTCTGCGGATCGCATATACTTTACTATTGTGTTTTGTCAACCAGTTCTTGTTGACACTGGGGCAAACATAAGCACAATATTAAGCTCTCTCCATTAACAACATCCCAATATTGGGACCTTGGCGCAGTTGGCTAGCGCGCAGGTCTCATATACCCATATGATCTGGTTAAAAAATCAGAGTAATCCTGAGGTCGGGAGTTCGAGCCTCCCAGGTCCCATTTCTTTTGCTTTTTGTTGATTTTTTGGATGTTTTTGCTGCCCCACTCAAGGACCTCGATAAGAGCCTTGAAGGTCAACATCCCACCATCCCTACCATTGTCGTCTTTTTGCCAGACAAGTTCTCTCATGTCAGTCAATCATGGTTCTCAAAAAGTTATGTTCGAGATCATCGATTTCGTGTTCCAGAAACCTGAAACCCTGCACCAATCCAAAACGAGCCGTTCATCGGTCGGTGCGATTTTGAAGCCCACGGCCACCGCGAACGGAACAGTGTGGGGACCGTCTGCGATTAGGGCTCGATGACATCATTGCACTGCCCCGCGATGGGCTCAGGTCTTGTTGGTGATGAACTGCTGACCTGCAAGACTGAACTTGTGAGCAACGACTGGTTGTCACGGAATTCTTGGCGAAGGCAAAACATCGAGAATGCCTCGAACTGCCCTTCAAAATGAGGCGCAATGGACGGCATTGTCGGATGTGGCCAGTCACGGCAGCTTTTGGCCGTTCGTTTCTGTTGGACGGGTAGCATGTCCGCTTACTTTGACGTGCACCACAGTTTCCGCGGCTTTGTGCTTTTTGTATCGTAGACATTGTCATTGTTAACTAAAACAAATAAGACGCCATCTGGTTCCTGATCTTCGGGTCTACTATTCTCTAGTGTTTCTGGAAGCCCAATCTACGCACAATGTCATCTCGAGCAGCAGATTGGGGTCGCATACCCGCATTGGGTGGTACCAACCCTGACTACTATCAAGAGACAGCCAGTCTCTACGGAGATGGCGGTTCAGGAGATCCGAACCATCGCCGACGAAGACGGCGTCGTCGAGATGAACACCACAATCATCACCATGGTCACCATAGTCACCATCATTCTAACCATCCAACACCGCCACAGCCTATACCACAGGCTCCTCCGCCGGCTTATACCTTCCATAACCCTCATCAACCACAACAGCCGTCACCACAACAACATGGAAGTGGCAGCTACTCACCCCCTCCACCACCTAAACCTCCACGGCCGGTGATCTCCTCCCATCCCTCCTCAGGATCCGGGTCTGGAAGCGGTCCAGGACTAATGTCAGGAGCCATCATCCCCACATCCACCTCAACCTCTTCCCACTCCCAGTCAAATCCCAGCAACCCCCAAAAAGACAAACGAACCCTCAGCGAACGCCTCCACAGTCTCAGCCTCAAAGCCGGCACCCCCATCAACAAACTCACCAACGCTCTCGGCTCCGAAGCCTTCTGGCCTTCCACCCTCGACAAGGAATGCGACAAGGCAGCTCGCATCATCCAGTCCTTTTGCCAATCCCCTTCTTCATCCCCCAATGGATCCTCCCGCAGCAGTCCGCTTCTCCAAATCCCACCTCGTGTGTTGGCTTCCTGCTCGGGGTTAGCAATCTTTACCGTTTTTCGCACCGGTCTTTATGCTTCTGGGTCTTCCGGGTCCGGGATTGTGGTTTCGCGGTTACCGGATGGGAGGGGGTGGTCACCACCTTCTGGATTCCTAATCCATTCTCTCGGGGCCGGGTTTCTAGCGGGAATTGACATCTACGATTGCGTCTGCGTATTACGCACGCCCGCAGCGGTGCGAGCGTTTGCTGAGCGACCGCGAGTTAGTCTGGGAGGGGATGTGGGAATCGTCGCTGGACCGGTTGGTGCTGGGGCGGCGGTGGAGGGGGTGGTTAATCGTCGGTCCTCTTCTTTTACTGGTAATGTGAAGGAGAAAAACGAGAAACCGTTGGTGTATAGCTATATTAGGAGTAGGGGTTTGTATGCGGGAGTGTCGTTGGATGGGACAGTGGTGGTGCCTAGGGGTGATGCGAATGCCGAGTTTTATGCAAGGAGGGGGATTACGGTTGAGCAGATACTGAGGGGAGATGTGCCGTTGCCGTCGCAAGGGTTGGGCAAGAAGGATGGCAAAAAGGTTTGGCCCGAGGGCGCGATGGGCTTGATGGAGGTTTTGAGAACAGCGGACCAGCAGGGAAGAAGAGGAAGTGATAGGGTCAGTGGGGGTTCGAGCAGGGAAATTGAAGATGACTGGGGATATGAAGATGCAGCAAGAGAAAGGCGCAGGATGCTTTATGAAGGAGCGTCCTTTGAATATGGAAGAGACGGCGGACGAACAAGGTGATATGCGAAGCAGAGAATTTGGAGTAAGAGATGAGTGTTACATCATATATGGTAGGCCTTCCGTCTACAAGGTTAATTATGAAGCTGGACTCCATGATCGTTAAATACATACACAACATGGCAATTCGAGGAGTAAACGACATACCCTTTTGAGTAGTCAATTTCAACTCAATTCTTTCGCTATGATAAAACGCTACGATATCCCTATCTCTTCACTCAAGCCAAGGTACGGTTTGTGACAGCTGTAACACTGCCATCGTAATGGCAGGAATGCCATTTCCATTCTCGTCCATGCTTCGCCCGGATCTGAAAAGTCGTGCAAATTAGGCCTGGTAATATGCGATTATGTTACAAGTACAAGCCCTCGGGCTCGCCTTCCTGCTTAGTGCGCAGGACGCGTTCACGAGCAGCTCTGAAGTCGGCCATCTGCACCCTCATTCTGCGCTCACGAAGGGCCATAAGACCGGCCTCAGAGCAAATGGCCTTGATATCGGCACCCGAAAGATCATCCTTCTGGGCGATGAATTCCTCCAAGTCGACATCCTCGTTGAGCGACATCTTGCTGGTGTGAAGAGTGAAGATCTTGCGCTTGGTGTTCTGATCGGGGTTCTCGAACAGAATCTTGCGATCGATACGACCGGGACGGATCAAAGCAGGATCAAGCGACTCGATCTTGTTGGTGGCCATGATAACCTTGACGTCGCCACGGTCGTCGAAACCATCCAGCTGGTTCAGAAGCTCCAACATGGTTCTCTGGATTTCACGCTCACCACCTGACGTGGAGTCGTAACGCTTGGTACCGATGGCATCGATTTCGTCGATGAACACGATGGAAGGCGCATTCTCAGCCGCAACCTAGAGAAATTATCAGAATATATCCTTCTCGGCGCAAATCGGCCATCTATACATACCTGGAAAAGCTGGCGAACAAGTCGGGGACCGTCACCAAGGTACTTCTGGATAAGCTCACTACCAACGATGCGCAAGAATGTTGCTGATGTCTGATTTGCGACAGCCTTGGCAAGGAGGGTCTTTCCAGTACCGGGAGCACCGTAAAGAATGACGCCCTTGGGCGGCTTGATGCCCATTTCCTCGTAAAGCTCTGGATGCAGCAACGGAAGCTCGACCGATTCGCGAACTTCCTGGATCTGTTGTTCCAAACCACCAATATCCGCGTACGACTCTGTAGGCGCCTTGTCGAGCTTCATGACGCTAACGGCCGGGTCGGTGTCGTCGGTGAGCACGCCAACAATGCTGACAGTTTTGTGGTGTAGCAAGACACTGGCGCCAGGTTCCAAAAGGTCTTTGTCGACAAAGCTCATGATGCTTACGTAGTACTCGGGCCCTGATGTGCTTGAAACGATGGCGTGGTCGTCGTCGATCAACTCTTCGAGAACACCAACACCCATGGGGCTCCCCCGCATGTCATCGACACGGGAGCGTTCATCGGCCATGCGATCAGATTCCTCCGCAGAGGCCGGGGCGTTGCTGTCTTTGGCCGTCTTCGCCTTGCGTAGACGTTCTTGGTTCTCGACATATTCCTCCTCAAGCAGCAGATGGTCGTGGATTCGTTGCATTCGTAGGAGTCGGAGTTTGCATCGACTTGTCGGATAAACTGAGGGGAGCTTGGCGGCGGCACTAGCACCGCCTTGTCTCTTCTTCTTGCGACCGATGCGGGTGGTGGGCTTCGGGGGCGGCTCGTACTTGGGCTTATCTTTCTGTGATGGTGGCGATGGTGGTTAGCAATGTCCATGATGTCAGCGCTCAAGTCTCGAAAGACATCAACGTCCAGCGCATAGAAAGAAGCATCTTGCAGATGGTGGGAGCCTACCTTGTTATCTTTCTTGGACTTTGACGGGTCCTGGCCGCCGCCCATGCCAGACTGATTTTGACCCTGCGCAGCTAGTCAGTATGTGATGCATTGCAAGCTTGAGCTCAGCTCCTTGTTTCGGCGAACTGACCATGTTGATGATTCGCCTCTGAATACCCCAAGAGTGTGTTGGGGGGGGTTGAAATGAAGGTCGAGGGTAAAAAATTCGACGGGTAAAGTGCCGCACGATATAAAGGTCGTTAAAGAGGGGCGACGGTGATGGAAATGGTTGTTCTGGAATTCGTTGTTGGCGGATGCCCGTTTGGAGGTTGCGATGGCAAGCTCCAGTTCAGGCCCCCAGTGAACGCGACATCCGTCAGTCGTCCAGTCGCAATACCTGACGCACAGACCATTGCAAGCTGCTGCCGGGGGCAACAGCATTAGGCGGGCATGCCGTTTGAGTGCTTTGAGCTTTTTATCACCAAACTGCATTCGGAATGTCCAATGACCATGCATCGGCACTTTCTCAACTCGTACTGTACTGTATGACGGACTGTCTTCCCGTACAGCGCATGGCCACGGCATTGAGCGAGGGAGGGGACGACCTGCCCTGTCGTCCAGCCCGAGGCAGAGCCTCCTCGCTGCTTCTATTCTGTCGCAATCTATGTGTGTACTATTGAAGAGAAAGAGCATTTATTGTCTCCTCAAAGTTGTCTGAATATAGAGTCGGAAAGAAAGCACATGCGTTGTTGGGGCTGCCGAATATCACCATCACCACAGGCTTGTTCTCCAACACATCTTTTATTTAAACACCACGCTCGCCAGCTGAAGTCTACATTCCTGGGTACCTCTACGGATGCCAGCCCCACCTCGACGCCTTCACGTCCTTTTATGCACTTCCTAACTTTTTCCTCGCCAGGAAGTGACGACCACCATTTCATCTTGTCAGCGAATATTCCTGCAGCCTTGCATTCACTTTATTTGATTTACTATCGGACCTTGCCTGGTTTGCAGTGCCCTGATAAATTTCGTACAGACCTGGGAAGCTTAAAACGG